AATATAGAAAGGAAGGAATAGCACCCATGTACCAGAAATAAGAAACTATGCAGTAAAGTAAGGATATAGAAAAAAGTAAGAGTCTTAGTTAATAAAAGACATAGTCATTTTTACTTTAAAAGTCTGTAGATGTGACCAAATAGTAGATGGGCCATCTATTATTCCATTTTCATACTGCTATAAAGAACTACCTGAGACTAGGTAATTTATGAAGAAAAGAAGTTTAATTGACTCACCGTTCTGCATGACTGGAGGGTCCTGGGGAAACTTACAATCATGACAGAAGGTAAAAGGGAATCAAGGCATGTCTTACATGGCAGCAGGGGAGAGAGAGAGCAAGTAGGGCTATGCCACACTTTTAAACCATCAGATCTCATGGGAACAGCATGGGGGAAACTACCCTCATGATTCAATCACTTCCCACCAGATCCCTCCCTCAACAAGTGGGGGTTACAATTTGAGATGAGATGTGGGTGGGGACACAGAGCCAAACATATCTGGGCACAACTGAATAAAACCTACAAAGAGACTTAGATTCCCACACAATAATAGTGGGAGACTTTAACATCCCACTGTCAATATTAGACAGATCAACAAGACAGAAAATAACAATGATATTCAGGACTGGAACTCAGCTCTGGACCAAGAGGACCTAATAAACATCTACAGAACTCATTACCCCAAATCAACAGAATATACATCATTCTTAGTACCACATTGCACTTATTCTAAAATTGACCACATAATTGGAAGTAAAACACTCCTCAGCAAATGCAAAAGAACGGAAATAATAACAAACAATCTCTCAGACCACAGTGCAATCAAATTAGAACTCAGGATTAAAAAACTCACTCAAAACTGCACAACTACATGGAAACTGAACAACCTGCTCCTGAATGACTGCTGGGTAAATAACAAAATAAAGGCAGAAATAAATAAGTTCTTTGAAACCAATGAGAACAATGACACAATTATCCAGAATATCTGGGACACAGCATACCAGAATCTCTGGGACACAGCTAAAGCAGTGTTTAGAGGGAAATTTATAGCACTAAATGCCCACAGAAGAAAGCAGGAAAGATTAAAATTAACATCACAATTAAAAGAACTAGAGAAACAAGAGCAAACAATTTCAAAAGCTAGCAGAAGACCAGAAATAACTAAGATTAAGGCAGAACTGAAGGAGATAGAGACACACACACACACACACACACACACAAAAAACCCTCAAAAAAGTCAATGAATCCAGGAGCTGGTTTTTTGAAAAGATTAACAAAATATATAGACCACTAGCCAGACTATTAAAGAAGAAAAGAGAGAAGAATCAAATAGACACAATAATAAATGACAAAGGGGATATCACCACTGATCCCACAGAAATACAAACTACCATCAGAGAATACTATAAACACCTCTACACAAATAAACTAGAAAATCTAGAAGAAATTGATAAATTCCTGGACACATACACCCTCCCAAGACTAAACCAGGAAGAAATCAAATCCCTGAATAGACCAATAACAAGTTCTAAAATTAAGGCAGTAATTAATAGCCTACCAACCAAAAAAAGTGCAGAACTAGATCGATTCACAGCTGAATTCTACCAGAGGTATAAAGAGGACCTGGTACCATTCCTTCTGAAACTATCCCAAACAATAGAAAAAGAGCCACTCCTCCCTAACTCATTTTATGAGGTCAGCATCATCCTGATACCAAAACCGGGCAGAGACACAACAAAAAAAGAAAATTTCAGGCCAATATCCCCGATGAACATCGATATGAAAATTCCTAATAAAATACTAGCAGACCAAATCCAGCAGCACATCAAAAAGCTTATCCACTATGATCAGTTGGCTTCATCCCTAGGATGAAAGGCTGGTTCAACATATGCAAATCAATAAATGTAATCCATCACATAAACAGAACCAAAGACAAAAACCACATGATTATCTCAATAGATGCAGAAAAGGCCTTTGATATAATTTAACACTCCTTCATGCTAAAAACTCTCAATAAACTAGGTATTGATGGAACGTATCTCAAAATAATAAGAACTATTTATAGCAAACCCAGAGCCAATATCACACTGAATGGGCCAAAGCTGGAAGCATTCTCTTTGAAAACCGGCACAAGACAAGGATGCCATCTCTCTATTCAACACGGTATTGTAAGTTCTGGCCAGGGCCATCGGTCAAGAGAAAGAAATAAACAGTATTCAAATAGGAAGAGAGGAAGTCAAATTGTCTCTGCTTGCAGATGACATGATTATATATTTAGAAAACACCATCCTATCAGCCCCAAATCTCCTTAAGCTGATAAGCAACTTCAAATTTCAGTAAAGTCTCAGGATACAAAATCAATGTGCAAAAATCACAAGCATTCCTATACACCCATAATAGACAAACAGAGAGCCAAATCATGAGTGAACTCCCATTCACAATTGCTACGAAGAGAATAAAATACCTAGGAACACAATTTACAAGAGATGTGAAGGACTTCTTCAAGGAGAACTACAAAACACTACTCAAGGAAATAAGAGAGGACACAAACAAATGGAAAAACATTCCAAGCTCATGGATAGGAAGACGCAATATTGTGAAAATGGCCATATTGCCCAAAGTAATTTATAGACTCAGTGCTATCCCCATCAAGCTACCATTGACTTTCTTCACAGAATTAGAAAAATCAACTTTAAATTTCATATGGAACCAAAAAAGAGTCCGTATAGCCAAGACAATCCTAAGCAAAAAGAACAAAGCTGGAGGCATCACACTACCTTACTTCAAAGTATACTACAAGACTATAATAACCAAAACAGCATGTTGCTTGTACCAAAACAGATATATAGACCAATGGAACAGAAGGGAGGCCTCAGGAGTAACGCTGCACATCTACAACAATCTGATCTTTGACAAACCTGAAAAAACAAGCAATGAGGAAAAATGATTCCCTATTTAATACATGGTTTTGGGAAAACTGGGTAGCCATATGCAGAAAACTGAAACTGGACCCCTTCCTTACACCTTGCACAAAAATTAACTCAAGATGGATTAAAGACTTAAACGTGAGACCTAAAAACATAAAAACCCTAGAAGAAAACCTAGGCAATACCATTCAGGACATAGGCATGCACAAAGACTTTATGACTAAAACAACAAAAGCAATGGCAACAAAAGCCAAAATTGACAAATGGGATCTAATTAAACTAAAGCGCTTCTGCAGAGCAAAAGAAACTATCATCAGTATGAACAAGCAAGCTACAGAATGGGAGAAAATTTTTGAAATCTATCAATCTGACAAAGGACTAATATCTGGAATCTACAAGGAACGTCAACAAATTTACAAGAAAAAAACAACCCTATTAAAAGTGGGCAAAGGATATGAACAGAAACTTCTCAAAAGAAGACATTTATGCAGTCAACAAACATGAAAAAAGTTCATCATCACTGGTCATTAGAGAAATGCAAATCAAAACCACAACAAGATACCATCTCATGCCAGTTAGAATGGCAATCATTAAAAAGTCAGTAAACAACAGATGCTGGAGAGGATGTGGAGAAATAGGAACGCTTTTACACTGTTGGTGGGAGTGTTAAATAGTTCAACTACTGTGGAAGACAGTGTGGCGATTCCTCAAGGATCTAAAACCGGAAACACCATTTGACCCAGCAATCCCATTAGTGGGTATATATCCAAAGGATTATAAATCATTTTACTATAAAGACACAGACACATATATTACAGCACTATTCACAATAGCAAAGACTTGAAACCAACCCAAATGTCCATCAACGATAAACTGGATAAAGAAAATGTGGCACATATAGAACATGGAATACTATGCAACTATAAAAAAGGATGAGTTCATGCCCTTTGCAGGGACATGGATGAAGCTGGAAACCACCATTCTCAGCAAACTAACACAGAAACAGACAACCAAACACCGCATGTTCTCACTCATAAGTGGGAGTTGAACAATGAGAACACATGGACACAGAGAGGGTAACATCACACACAGGGGCCTGTTGGGGGGTGGGCAGCTAGGTGAGGATAGCATTAGGAGAAATTCCTAATGTAGATGACAGGTTGATGGATGCAGCAATCCACCATGGCACGTAAATATATGTAACAAACTTGCACATTCCGCACATGTACACCAAAACTTGAAGTATTAAAAAAAATGAATTAGCAAATTAAGAAAGAATGATGGAAATCTTTCAGAATACAGCACACAGAGATAAAGAGGTAGTAAAACAGATAGAAATTATGTAACACATAAATGGCACAGAAGCTCTGGAATCCATCTATTAACATAGCAGAGAAGGAATATTGAAAAAGAGACTGGCAGAGACGTAGCCAGCAGTCAAAAGACTCATGTGTCCTCCAACTGAAATGTTACATCAAGTGATAAGGTCAATTAAGAAAAAAAGTCATATGTAGGCACAGCATAACAAAATTGTAGAACCAAGTATAAGGTAAAAATTCTAAAAGCCACTAAGGAAAATTATATGTAGCATGTATATATAAACGGTAATTAAATGATAAAAGCCTCCTATAACTTGGGCCTCCCAATCCCTTCTCTCCTGAGTTTCATAATTCAACTCACAGGACTTAGCATATAGTCATACTCGTGGCTATGATTTGTTACATCACAGGATAAAAAGCAAAATGAGCAATAGAAAAGACTCATGAGGTAAATCCAGAAGCAGTAACCAGTAAATCCAGTAACCAGGAGCAAGCTTCCATGAATCCTTTCCCAGGGGAGTCACACAGGATTCACTCGATTACATTAGCAACAAGATATGACAACATGTGTGAACTGTTGTCTATCAGAGGATCTAATTAGAGACTCCATGTCCAGAGTTTTTGTTGAGGGTTGGTCATATAGGCACCCTCTGCCTAGCATGGGCCAAAATTCCAGATTCCCAGATGGAAATCAGGTATTCAACTTAAAGCACATTGTTTGTACAACCAGTTTAGGTACAATGAGTTATTCTTACCATTCTTACCAGGAAATGGTGGAAACACTCCCAAATCCAAGTTCTGGAATGCCAGCTGGGCCAACCTTGTAAGGAGGCCTTCCTCAGGATAGCAATCTCTGGCCTGCTGTGTTCTTTTCTGCATATTTTCTTATTACCAGGAGGTGATACTGAAAGACAATAGAGAGTAATTCTGTTCTGCTATCCCTTTTCCAACATTAAGCAGTTATATAAATAAAAGAAAAAAAATGACAGAAAACTATATACATTCTCTTCAACAGTATTTATTTCTGACTTTTTCTAATACCCTTTACACACTGTAGATGGTCTCACTCATGCCCATGACTTTAATTAGCATCTCTATGTTGATTGGTCCATAAACTGTCATCCCAATCTCTTGTCCTTAATGAGTTCTAGACCAAGATATTCAATGTGCTTTGAAAATGTCTACATGCATATCCCAAAGGGTACCTCACACCCAATTACCCCTCAGTTTGTATCACTCTGATTTAAAAACAAAAACAATTTTTAAACTTTACATTCTATATAGGAATATCACCAATCACACAATCTAGAAATCACATTTAAAAATCTAAGAAAATCTACATTCCCAAAAGTTCTTAGAACAAATGAATAAGTTCAGCAAGATCTCAGTATATAAGCACATAAAAGTTAATCATGTTCCTATATATCAGCAATAAACATTTGGAATTTGAAGGAAATATGTAGTAGCAACAAAAAAATTAATCACTTATATATAAACTTAACCAAATTCATGCATAATCTGTATGCTAAAAACTACAAAACACCGATGGAAAAAAATAATGAATATCTAAATACGTGGAGAAATATATTATTTTCTTCTATTAAAAGATTCAATATTGTTAAAATGTCATGTATCCCCAATTTGATCTATATAGTCAAAGCAACACCAATCAAAATCACAGCAAGTATTTCATAGATATCAACAAACTGATTGTAAAATGTATTTGGAAAAACAAAGGTATTAGAGTAGACAAAATTAATGTGATATAGAAAAATCCATTAAAAGGATTCGCATTATCCACTTTCAAGACTTTCTACAAACTTACTAGGAATTTTAAATGGTATGACATTGGGAAAGGATAGGAACATACATCAGTGGTATATAATACAGACCTCAGAAACAAATACACTAATAAAGTTAACTGACATGAAAAAGTGCAAAGGTGTCTGGGTGCGGTGGCTCACGCCTGTAATCCCAGCACTTTGGGAAGCCAAGGTGGGTGGATCACTTGAGGTCAGGAGTTTGAAACTAGATTGGCCAACAAGGTGAAACCCTGTCTCTACTAAAAATGCAAAAAATTTAGCTGGGCGTGGTGGCAAGCACCTGTAATCCCAGCTACTCCGGAGGCTGAGGCAGGAGAATCGCTTCTACCCGGGAGGCAGAAGTTTCAGTGAGCTGAGACCGTGCCATTGCGCTCCAGTCTGGGCAACAAGAGCGAAACTCTGTCTCAAAAAAAAAAAAGAGTACCAAGGTCATTCAAAGTTTTATCATTTCAATGAATGGTGCTGAAGCAATTGGACCTTCACATGTAAAATAAAATAAGTCTTGACACATATCCTCACATCTCATTAAAAAATTTACACAATGTAAAACTATGAAACATCTAGAAGAAAACCTGATAACCTGCATGATCTTGATTGATGAGGCTTCTGATTCAAAAATCGCCAAAAACCATGATCAATAAAATAATTGATAAACTGATTATCAAAATTAAAAATCATATTCTGTTAAGAGAATGAAAAGACAAGCCATAGATTGGTAGAAATATTCTCAGATCAGATATATGACAAAGGATTTTTATCCAGAATATACAAAGAACTTCTAAAGCTCAACAATAATTTACAAACACTCAATTAAAACACTGGGTAATAGATTTGACTGGAAACACAAATACATTTCCAGAATGGCAAGACAAGAAGCTCTAAAGACTCCTTCCCAGTAAAATAAGCAAAACTGGTAAAAAAGTATTCAGAAACAATCACTTAAAGTCTCTGGAGGTTGTCATGGGGCACACAGCAAATGAAGAAACATTTGTTCAAGGAAATTTGCTAAAACTTAATAAGAACAGCAAAAGTCTGTTGTACTTGAACTATGACCCACTTCTTCCCTCCAACTCCCAACTCAGCATGACCAAAATTTAACTCTGGGAATGCCCAGCAAGGAACACAGAGATCTCCTCCCCGCAGGTTTAACTCAAGGATTACAATATCTCCCCAGGAGGTGTGGGCCAAGAGTTGCTCAGAGATTTTTTACTAAGAGGAGAGGCAGTCCACAAAAACAAAGAGCTCCAAAGCTCCTGCCAAAGAACTAACCTTGTTTGAAATAGAGTGTGGGAAAATTCAAATTTCTCAAAAACAATGAATATGGAGTAATGAGCAATTAGGAAGATGGTAGCTTTATGAGAGCAACAAACTAAACCATAGGCCAGTTAATTTACCAGAGAGAACCAAGGAAAGAGAAAGCTAAGAGCTCTCCTGAGGTTTAGACCAGGAGATTTAGATCAGACTATGGAGCAATTTAAACTCTAGGACACTGTTGAAAACAACAGAGAAATCAATGGGTAATTAGTGGAGTTTAACTGGTAGGTATAAAATCAACAAAGTCAAAATCTCAATTTAGTGATTAGGGATGCTCCCAGGATAAATATACATATGGCTAAGAAGTAACATCAGAAGTTTCACAATGTAAGAGAAATAGACATTACTAAAATAGACTGGCCAAGTAACTAAACAAATAAATAAGCAAGTAACAACACTGGCCAGAGTGGCTGGATAAGAATAAGTATCCAATCTTGCTACAATATATCATTTTAAATGTTCAGCCTCCACAAAAAATTTAAGAGATATGCACACAAAAAGTATAGAAAAATATAATTTAAACACCAGAAATACATAGCAGGGAAAAGAAATTATCTGTAAGATGGCCTGGATATTAGATTTAACAAAGACCTCAATGCGATCATTGTAAACATGTTAAAAAAAAAAAAAAAAAAAAAGGGAAACCTACCTAAAGAAGTAAAGTATGATGACAATGTCTCAGCAAATATATAATATCTATAAAGACATAGAAACTATTTTTAAGAAAAGAAAATGGAAATTCTACAGTTAAAGGCACAATAACTGAAATGAAAATTGAATAGAGGGTCCCTACAGAATATTTGAGCTGTCAAGAGAAAGATTAACAAGGTTAAAGGTAGGTCAGCAAAGATTATGTAATCTGAGGAAGAGAGAGAAGAACAGTAAGTAAAAATAAACAGACCCTCAGAGGAATAGAAGACATTAGGACACCAATAACTGTACAAACGCATGACAAGAGAGGAAAATTATAGACCAATATTTCTTGTGAATGTGAGCACAAAATCCCTCAAAAAAATACTAGCAAACTGATTTCAGCAATATGTACAAAGGATTACACACCAGACCAAGTGGGATTTATTTCAGTAATGCAAGGTTAGTTTAACATCAGAAAATCAACTCATGTAATACACCATATAACAGAAGAAAAGACAAAGCCTCATGATCATCTCAAATACATGCTGTGGCTAGAATGTGTACCTCACATTTCATGTTTTAAAACGTGATCCCCCAATTCATATGTTGATTAGAGGATGGGACCTTAGAGAGGTAATTAGGATTAGACAAGGTAATCGGTTTTGGATCCCTATAGTGGGACTGAAGGCTTTTTAACAAGAGGAAGAAAGCTGACACTCATCCTTTTTCTCTTACCAAATGAAACCTTCCAGATGTGGCCCCTCAACCTTGGAGTTCTCAACCTTCAGAATTGTAAGGAATACAGTTTTTGTCTTTATAAATTACCAAATCAATGGTATTATGTTATAGCAACAGAAAATGGACTAAGACAATGTAAAAAAAGCATTTTATAAAATCCAACATTCCTTCATAATAAAGGCACTCGACAAACCAGTAATAGAATTTCCTAAACATGATGATGAACATCTACAAAAACCCTACAGCCAAAATTATAAATGGCGCTGTAAATTGTAATACTGTTTTCCTCAGTATTGTGAATAGACAAGAATGTCTGCTTTCAACATTTTTATTCAATATTTTTTCTGGCAGTTCTAGACATGGTAATTAGACAAGAAAATGTAATTAAAACATTCAAATTGAAAAAGAAGTAAAACTATATTTGTATGTTACATAATTTTACAGGCAAAAAATCCTAAGCAATCTTCTAGAAAGCTATTAGAAATCAGAAATGAGTTCAACAAATTTCAGGGTACAAAATCAATATAAAAATTAAATACATTTATTTACAGTAGCAAGCCATAATCAAAACATTAGATTTACATTTATAAGCGCATCAAACATAATAAAAGTTACCATACATTTTTATAATACTCCAAAACTTATGCTCTAAAAACTACAAAACAAGGTTTTATTAAAGACCTAAATAAATGGAAAGACATGGTATCTTCATCCATTCAAAAGATTTAAAATCATTAAGATGTAAATATTCCCCAAATTTATCTTCAGATTCAACAAAATTCCTATCAAAATCTCAGTTTGCTTTGTTGCAAGCTGACAAGAAAATTGATAAGCTCATGCTAAAATTCATATGTAAATGCAAGGGACTCAGAGTAGCTGGAACTGTCTTCAAAAAGAAGAATGAAGTTGGAAGAATCACCCTTCTTGATTTCATAATGTACTGCAAGATACAATAATCAAGACTGTATAGTAAGCCATTAAGAAAAGGATGTAGTACAGTGTAGTACAGTATAAGAAGACTTCAATAAAATGGAATTGAGAATCCAAAAGTCAATCCTAACATTTATAGTCAATTGATTTCAGCAAGGGAGCCAAGACATTTCAATGTAGAAAAAAGTCTTCTCAATCAATAGTGCTGGGACAACTGGATATCCAAAAGAATGATGAATATGCAGAATAATACAGAATTCCATATAAAATAACTGAAAATAAATCATAGACATAAATGGAAGAGCTGAAACTATAACATATTTGGTAGAAAACATAGGCCTAAATCATCATGACCTTGGAGTAGACAATGGTTTCTTAAACATGACATTAAAAGGATAAGCAACAAAAATTAACAAATACTTTGGAATTCATCAAACTTTGAGGCATTTTTTCTTCAACAAACACT